ATTTCTCATTCTCATTCTCATTCTTCATTTCAACCACACATTCTCCTAATAAAATAATATTACACACAAATCAAAAACTTTTCATCACTTTTCCACCACACATTCTCACATCAATCACTATTCCAAAATTTCTATTTCTCCCAAAATGGGTTTCAAACAGGGGCTAAAAATGAAAGTGATAAGTTATAGCTAAAAGGCTATGTAGATTTTGACTTTGTGGGGGATAAAAATCACTGAAAATCTACCACTTCATACTTCTTCACTTTAAGTGATAATTGTATCACTTGGAAATCACAGTTACAATCTATAGTTATACTCTCCAGCATTGAAGCAGAACATGTTGCATTAATTGAAGTTGTAAAAGAATGCATGTGACTGAAAGGCCTTCTATATAAATTAAACTTTTTGAATATAATGCTATGATTTTTACCGATAGTCAAAGGTCATTGATGTTGTGTAAAAATCTTGTTTATCATGGATGTTATAAGAATATTGAGGTGAAGTATCACTTCAGTAGGGAGAAGTTAGCTTCTGGTGATTTTATTTTGCTTAAAATTGCAACTGGTGAAAACCCTTCAGACGTTGGAACAAAAGTACATGCGGTTAATAAGTTCAACAAATGTTTATCTATATTGATTATTGATAATGGTTAATTGTTGTGCGGGTATTGAGCTAGAGTGAGCGATGATGATGAAATAAGACCACATTAATGAATAGTACTTGTAATATGGGAATTTAACGATGGATTGTATGTGATCCAAGGTGAAAATTTATGGGGTGGATCACTTAAATCCACTTGGCACACGAGTATTTGTTTTGAACACTTTGAAGTGTTTGTACTAGTTGATGTGTATTACTTGTGGTCAATTACCCTATTAGTCATGTCTCTTTTATAGTACAATATTTGAATTTAAATTCAAATGGTTCTTTGCCTCTTTAATTACAAGACTTCTTCACTTATTTCACTTGGACTTAACATAACAAAAGAGAGAAAACATAGAGAAGTAACCAAGCATAGAGATATGAACATATCTCAGATGAAATTCTTGGTGGCTTCCGGCTCATTCTTTTCTTGGTATATCCATTGTCATTCCCGTGGACGATGATGTATGATCTGGTGTGGCAAGTGTTCATCGAATTCTAGGCACATCTACTTAACCACCAAAAAAAAATAAAAAATCCGCAAATTCTGATTTTTTACACGATTGGTCATCAAAAGACGTAAAAATTGTTGTAACATAAATAAGTTTTAACTTTCAAAATTTAATCCAGTTTTAATTTTGCAGTTAAAACCAATAATATTAGGATATAACTTACAATTTAATTGAATTAAATCTCATTATTGTGGGGACTGTTTTAACTCTATAAAAGGTATGAGAATTTTCATTGTTAACTACAATATGAATATACAACTTGAGTTACAACAAAAATCCTCATTTTATATTTCATACTATATTTCTATAGTTTTGGCAACTCGATAAAGGTTTGTTCTTTATTTTCCTTGTGGTCGTACTCATAGAAGGAGAACCGGCTACGAGCCACATAAATCTTATCTTGCAATCATGTAATGCCAAAAGTACCCACACGACTTTAGGACATCGTTCTTGAAGTGACTTACTAAAACTTGCCTTCAAAATTTCTTCTCAAATTTATCATATTTAATTGTTGAATTATATTTATTATTTTGATTATGTTTATGTTTATGATAATCTAGACACAAATCATCCATTTTTTCCAACAATCTAAAGTCTTGTTGGGTGATTTGTATGTACGTGGCTGCTCTTAATTCTTTGTTTCAAGAAAATATAACTTCGTGAGAGCTCTATTTGTCACCATTGATTTCAAAAGCAATTAGTATCTTTGTTAACATTAATTCATTATCTATTTGATACCTAAGTGCCTATCGATACCAACTTTAGCAAATAGTAACCGGAAAGGTAATTTTAGTAATCAAGAGCTTATGAGTAATGGGACAACTAGTGGGTTTTGGATAAAAAATTCCTGATAAGGCAAGTGCAGGGCATAGTTTATGGAAGGTTTATGGTAAATTTA